TGTTCCGTGGAGGCCCCAGGGCAGCCCGCCGATTCCATTCTGAAGCCTGGCCCTTCCCCGGCAGTGCCCAGAGAAACGTGTTTCTGTGTACATAGCTCCTCGGGTCACCTCTCTCTGCTTTCTGAATTGCTGTGGTCTGGGTGTCTGCTCAATAAACTTCACTTGCAATTCATGCCGTGTGGTGTCTGGGTCATGTCCAGCCTTGGCAGACGTGGGTAGCAGCCACAGAGAAAGGAGGTTTGGGTGTGATAACAGAGGGGATTCTGGAGGACGCCGTGTCTCCCCGAGGGGAGCCCCATGAGGGTGGGGGATGGGTGTGAATTTCTCAGAAAGCACTTACCAGGCTTGGGCTGTGGCATTGCCAGGAGATGGGAGGGGGATTTGCAGAAAACTCTCTTTTCTAGAAACAAAACCACTGTTGTTGTTGTTGTTTTTTGTCAGAGTCTCCCTCTGTCAAGGACATTATGCAGTGGCACAATCATGGCTCACCACAGCCTTGACCTCCTGGACTCAGGCAATCCTTCTGTCTCACACTCCCAAGTAGCTGGGACTACAGGCATGTACCACCACAACCAGCTAATTTTTTGATTCTTTTTGTAGAGACAAAGTCTCCCTATGTTGTTCAAGCTGTCTCGAACTCCTGAGCTCAAGCAATCCTCCTGCCTCGGCCTCTACAAATGCTGGGATTACAGGCGTGAACCACCATGCTGGGCCCAAACTACTCTTCTTGAGAAGCATTTTTCCACAATCTTCCCTCTCTTTTTATGAAAAAGGCTTTGATCTGAAGTCTCTTCTCAGGGCAAACCAACTGCCCCTGAGCACCTGCCTGGGCTTCTGCAGCTCTGAGCCTGACATAGGTCCGGGTCTCTCCGTATCTCTGACATCATACACACACACCCTCAGGGGCTCTGAGCAAGCCAGAATGAGAACACCCGGGGAAGTAACTGGAGGGCTGTAGGATGGTCTTCAGAACAAACAACTTCTCTTTTCACAGAACTTCCCCCTCCCATCAGAGCAAACCCATCACACTCAGCAAATAAAGGGTCCTTCTGGTCCATTACCCAGAACCTACAGGAACCTTTCTTGTGGGATGACTCCCCCTACCCCAGGGAGGTCTCCCCTGGGGAACATGAAGATGACTGCACCCCTTTCGATAAAAAGGCCTTGTCTCCTGACCAGGGCTTCCATGGAGCTCAGGAACGGTTGGGCAGGCAGGTCTGGGCCCTTGGGGTTGGTGTTAGACTGGCCAGAGAGGCCCAAATGGAAGTTGGTGGCTCAGGCAGGGTCAGATTAAGCTTAATAATGTGAGATTCAGGCACAGCAGATGTGGCTTCACGCAACTCAGAAAAAAATTCTGGTGGATTCTTTTTTCTCCCCATCCTAGCTTTTTTTTTTTTTTTTTTTTTTGAGTTGAAGTCTCACTCTGTCGCCCAGACTGGAGTGCAGTGGCCACTCCCGGCCACCGCAGCCTTGACCTGCTGGGCCCCGGCGATCCTTCCGCCTCAGCCTTCCGAGTAGCCGGAATTACAGGTATGAGCTACCACACCCGGCTGAGTTTTTGATTTATTGTAGCGATGAGGTCTCGCTGCCCAGGCAGGTCTCGAACCCGCGCATCCTAGCTTTAAGAACCTTGATGAAGCTGTAATTGAGTCTGTTTCCGGAGGCCGCAGGGATGACTTTGAGAAATGCAGGGTGAGGCATTCACAGGGAACAGGTGCCTTTGCCAGCTACCAGACCAGCCAGGTCCCAGGTTCAAGGGTGCTGGGCAGGAAGAGTTGTGCAGTCTGTGAGGGACAAGACCCACGCCCTTTTAAAGGTTTCAGGCATAGGGAGCCATGCTAATAGCTTTTGGGGGCTTGGAGCAGGGGGAGGCAAGGCAGGCCAGGTGGCAGCTTTTATTCCCACCAGCCTCAATTCCTGAGTCTATCGGTGGTCTGACCTCCGACCTCTTCCATGGCTTCCAATTCTCACTCCTACCCCACCCATGACATAGCCCTGCATTCTCCTGACCCACTCAGATTCGTGCTACTTTCATGCTGTACTAGGAGAGCAACGTTATGCTCGAACATGAACTCAGAGGGACCCAGCCCCAGGACACGACAGATATGTGGCTCCGAGCAGGTGTTAGAACTAGGGGCTCACTCTGGAGAGGGGTCCTCCTCCCAGGTGCTATGGAATAGTCCAGCTCTGGGTCACACCCCTCTTACCAGGGCCCTCTGCGGCTCTTCCACCAGACTTGAGAATAGGCCTGTCAGGTCCTGGGCTTCAAAGAGGAGGCAGGCTGCAGGCCCATCTCCACAGGGAACTGGGCTCGATATTTACATGGTGCTGATGCTGCAGAATATCTGGAGCATCCTTCCTTTGAAGGTTCCCTCCCTTTCTCTGCCTGGGAGATTGAGTATGAATTCAGGTAAACCTCTCTCTCCTCTTCATCAAACTCTTTCTTTCCTGTCAACTCAAATGAGAGTCCTGGTACAGCTCCCCTCCTCCAGGAAGCCCACCTAAATGAAAAACTTATATGAGGGATTTAAGAAATAATAAACCCGGGTGCAGTGGTTCACACCTATAATCCCAGTACTTTGGGAGGCCAAGGTGAGAGGATTGTCTGAGCCCACAGGTTCGAGATCAGCCTGGGTAACTTGGTAAGACCTTGTCTCCATGATAAGTAAAAAATTAGCTGGGCATGGTGGCACATGCCTGTAGTTACAGTTACTTGAAAGGCTGAGGTGGAAGGATCTCCTGAGCCCAGTAGGTCGAGGCTGTGGTGGCCGTGAGTGTGCCACTGCACTCAAGACTGGGCAACACAGTGAGGCGCTGACTCAAAAAAAAAATAGCAATTTTACATGAACTTTTATAAGAAGAAGAAACACCTTCCACCTTGTTTTGTAAGGCCAGCATTATTCAGATATTAAAATCAGACAAAGATAGTATAAATAAAGAAACTCAAGACTGATATTCCTCATGAACATAGATTCAAAACTTCAAATTGAAGCTATGAACAAATTTAATCTAGAAATATATGTAAAGAATAATACATGACCATGTGGGCTTATTCCAGACATAAAATAATAAATAATTAGTTATACTTTATTAACTTATTAAAATAATAATCATTAACAATTAATAAAAAATTAATGTATTCATCATACTGACATATTGCAGAAGAAAAATTATAATAACCAAAAATATACTAACTAGTAAGATATTTGGGGATTTTCTACGTGGACAATCACATCAGAAATGAACAAAATCAGTTTTAGTTCCTCCTTCATATCTATATGACCTCATGTCCTTTTCTTACATTATTGCACTATTTAGAAATTTCAGTATAATGCTGAGTAGGGGTAGTGACAGCAGGCATACTTACTTGCACCCAAGCAATGCTTATGGGAAAAGCATTAAGAATTTCATGATTAAGTGTATTAGCCATAGGTCTTTTAGATGTCTTTTGTCAGGCAGATGTTTTCAATGTTGATAAACTCTCATTTATCCATTTTTCTTTATAGTTTAGGTTTTTGCTTGCCTAATGGCCACAAACATTTTTTCATAGAATAAAAAAATCTTTATTCTAGAAGTCTTATAATTTTAGTGTTTACATTGAGGTCTATATCCCATTTTGAGTGTATATTTGGGTATGGTATAAGATAAGGATCAAAGTTCATTTTACTTCCCCAGGTAAATATCCAGTTGTTTGGGCACCAGTTGTTCAAAAGACTGTTGTTTACTTGTTGAACTACGTTGGCAACTTTGTTAAATCTCAAATGAGCCTATATGTGTGGGTCTAGTTTTGAACTCTTTAAGCCTGTTTCATTAATCAGTATATCTATTCTTAATAATTTTACCACACTGTCTTGTTATGGCATCATGAATAAGTCTTGAAACAAGGTAGTATAATTTCTCCAAATTTTTTCTTTTAAAAAAATTGTTTTGGATATTTTAGGTCCTTTGAATTTCCATATAAATTTTAGTGTCAGTTTGTACATTTCTATAAGGAAATACTTCTAGGTTTTAATTGGAATGATGTAGAATCTCAGTTTGGGGGAATTGGTCAGTTTGGAGGAAATTGACATTTTAAGTATCTTGAGTCTTCCAATCTATGAACATGGTATATCTCTCCATTGATTTAGGTCTTCTTTAATTTTTCTCACCAGCATTTTATAGTTTCCAGGGTACAGGTCTTATACATATTGTGTTAACTTTATCCTTAAGTATTTCATGCTTTTATGCTATTATAAATGGTATTTAAAATTTTTAATTTGCTGTCTGTTGCTCATATATAGAAGTATAATTTTTAAAGAATTTACCCTGTTTCTTTTGAGCATGGAAAATTCACTTATTACTTCTACTGGCTATTTTGTAGATAGATTCCTCAGGTTTGTATACTGTCAATGAATAAAGGTAATTTTGACTTTTTCAAATTGCTTGCTTTTTTCTTCTTCAACACTCTGGGTCTCTAGCACAATTTTGAATGGAAGCAGCAAGAGTGGACATCCTTTCCTTGTTCTTGATATTATAGAAAAACATGTTTTTTTTCACCATTGTCTATAATAGTAAATATAAGGTTTTTTTAATTTTTAAATTATTTTATTT